ACTACTAATACTCCTACATTTGTCATGCTTCATATCCTGGTCAAAGGATGTGAACTTGCTGCATAATCAAGCGAAGAGCACACAGTGTATTTATAGCTGAAACACCAAATTAATTGCTTCCAACAGTCTCCTGATTATTTTCCGAACGCATCGTCAGAACATGGAGATTTCCGCGTCCCCACTGCCGACAGTCAGCTCAGGCAAATCCCCAAGTCTCAAATTCTTTGCTGCTTTGCACTATGTAGTAGTTACTTTGAACCGTCTCTGCCGATTACGTTGCCCTCATTTTCCGCAACCCAGACGCCCATGTACTGCGCCAAACACGAACAAGGGTATCTGCATTTCAGATACTACCTACTTAAGTACGGAGTACTACGTACATACAGGGCCAACTCACGTCAAGTCCACACACTTCAATCCCCAAGCGTGACTCCTAAATAGCGATTTACAGCTGAGTGAAATGGCTCTAATAATACTAATCAATTCGCTCAAGCTCAATAGCACCATCGCCCTGGATTCTATACGCGTTGTCGCCTTAAAGTGCATTTCTCTAGTCGGGCGCTCATAACAAGAGGCCCTGAATCATGATCCAAAGAACAAAGTGTTATTATGTACCATTCAATGGCAATGACCCATATTGCGAACTCTAACAACTTCATCATCTACCATCTATTCATTCACGCCATTCCGTATGTCTATCAAAGATTTAGGCCCTGAATGTTGTCCAGTAACAGCTCCGAAAAGGTTTCTAATACATGGCTGCTGGATTCTCCAGCCTTGGCCTCGAAGATCAAGTCCTGGATCGTCTTGATACCGATTCCAACCTTGTCCGATCCCGTGCGCTGCCGTACCAAATTAAGTACCTGGTCGATATCATTGGAATTGAACACACGTGATTCCTGCAAGACAGCAGCGAGCTCTTCGGCGTCAGCAACAGCTGGGACTGCGACCCTCTTTGCAAAGTCGGTGTCGATTTCGAGCATTTTGAGTACGGCAGCTTTGGATGTGGTTACGAAAACGAGGAGGCGGTGATTCTAGAATACGGGTGAGTATAGAGTGTCAAAACTGGTCAAAGGGGAAAGCATACTCTAGGAGGCTTGGAAACAATGAGGGTAGTAAGAGCCTCCAACATAACGTTGGAGAAACGAGGCCCGATGGGATTCCAGCCGATAAGACGCTCAAAGTCGTCAAGGATGAGAATTGAGGCAGGTGACTTGTAGGCATCCGCGAATGCTTTGTGGACATAATCCTTCTTGGCAAAGTCGTCTCTGTACCCAACAAGATCTGCCGGCGTAACCAACTTGACGAAGGGAAAGTCGGACTGCATGGCAATATGGGCGGCCAGAGCAGTCTTCCCGGCACCTTTGGGGCCGTGGAAGAGTACAGACGTGCTAAATTTGTTGGGGTCGTTTTTGATCATACCCACTACACGCATCATCTCGTCGATAGTCGAGCCGATGTATCGACTGAACCGAATGATTCCCAGACCGACAGCATCTTCAAGCTCGGCCTCTGACACACCATATGCCGGTTTTACTTCTGTTAATGCCAGCATAAAATCCGCGCGGTTGACTTGCATGCTGGCAACGTCCTGTTTGACAGCAGCCATTTGACCGACTTCTGTGTGGCGCGAAAATGCAAATGATGCTGCGGCTTTGACAACACCGTTAATCTCGGCACCTGAGTAGTTTTTGGTCATGCTTGCGAGCTCCTTTAGGTCGACGTCGGAATCGAGAATGTTGTTCTCCCTCATTTTAGCAGTGTGGATGTTAAAGATGTCAAATCGACCCTCTTCATCCGGTAAAGAAATTTCAATATGGACTTCCAAACGACCAGGTCTCATGAGCGCATCATCAATCATGTCCTTCCGATTAGTCATTCCTATAAGCAGAATATTGTTCAGCTGGTCGACACCGTCAAGCTTGGAAAGCAGCTGGTTCACCACACTGTCACCAACGCCAGTTCCTCCTCCCGCGCCCGATCCACGCTGTTTGCATACGGCGTCGAGTTCGTCGAAAATGATGATGTGAAGACTACTTTCCTCGGCCTTTTCTTTATACTCCTTCTCGGCATCCGCAAATAGCTTTCGAATATTTTCTTCAGACTGTCCCACGTACTTGTTAAGAACTTCAGGGCCATTAATAACTTTTGGCGGGCGTGCGTTGAGCATTTTGCCGATTTGGCGGGCAATAAGGGTCTTGCCGGTACCGGGAGGACCGTAAAGCAACATTCCTTTGACATGTGGGATGCCCATCTTGGCCACGAGACCGGGAGGGAACACACGAGAGGCGAAAGCTCGACGAAAGATGGTGGAGAATTCGTCACCCAAACCACCAATACCCATGTCTTCAAACTTGAAGTCTGGCGCCAAAATGGCGTTGGAGTTGGGCTTGCTCATAGATGGCTTCATGTGAAAATCACTTCTACCATCACGATGGAACAACACTCTTGTTTGACTGGTGAGAATACCTCTCGCATGCCCTTCCCGGAAGACTTGCTTGCTAGGGTCATCTGAGGACATGGCAAGGTCCACAAGCCCAACTGTCTTGACAACAATCAACAATGGGATATTGCGGACATCCATAAGAATTCTCTGTCCGGGGGCCAGAACCTGGTTTGCGAAGGTGTCAGAAAATTGCGCCGCCAGATGATCCTCATCGTAAGGGGCGTCTGTTCTCTTGTTGGGTGATGCGAAGCCGACTTCTAGATCAACGGACCCCAAATACGCCCTCCCTCCTTGAGCAAAAGGATCATATAGTTCTCCGGTGAATATGTCGCGAATGGTGATATTACACCAAGAACGCTGAGGGTCGGAGAGACTAATGCCGCCTTGGGGAAAGCCGGGTACAGGCCTTGCTGTGACAACGAATTCTCCCTCTGGCTGGCCACCTCGCACGAGGATATAGAGGTCGGTACCGTCTCGACTCGGTGGGAAGTCCTCCGGCGCAACAGCGCATCTATAGTCCAACAGTTAGTTCAAAACTTAAAGCGTCGACGCAGATAATCCATATCATGATAGCTTGACTTACATATTGCCGTAAATCAGGCGAGACTGCAAAGTTCTGTCGGCAACCTTCTCAACTCTCAAAGTGACCCTTCGAGCACCGGACAGCCCAGACGGCCCCTTCTCTGAGTATCTCGGCATCGCAGGCGACTGGGGACCAGACCCTTGGCTTACACGAGGATCACCATAACCTTGAGGGGTCCCATAGCCTTGAGATGGATCCGCGCCGTATGAGCTTCCTGGCGGCGGTCGTCCTTGATTTGGAGGCATTCGAGGGTTGCTGCCTGGTAACGAAGGAGCGTAAGGCAGCCTGCCAGGACCGCCTGGGGGCACTCTAGACATCGCGGTGATTTGTGCCTCGAGGTTGTTGATCTATCAATTTGTTGCGAATGCAGAGTTCGTATGGGTGTAAAAAGAGAAGAAATACACAAAAGCGAGGACAACTGGTAGGCAACGTGGTCATAAGTTGTGGCAATGAATGCCTGGAGGGTTGGGAGCTTTTAGCTGGTACCTCAGAACTGGAGGGGCGTTAACAGCGAGTCTCAGGGTGGTTTCATGGGACAGTGCTCAAAAGGGATTAGTGCATTATGTCACAGCCTGTCTCCGGAGTAATTGTGGAACATTTGAACTGGCCGCAGTAGCTTTGAGTTGTTCGTCGTCTGCGATGATGCTTGGAATCATTGTTAAATAAAAGAAATAGGCCACGATTTGTGAAGCATCGTTGGTCTTCATTCCCTTCTTCCTGTTTATGGCCGTATTTGCTTCGACTTCTGATTCCCACACTTGGAGATCTCCCATCACCATTCCATCATGCCCTTGTAAGAATAGACGCTGGCCTGCAAAGTCTCTTGAGACTTAACTGACCTTCAATAGACATCTCTTAGGGAAGAAATCCTGGAACGTCTATAATGCCGACAACATCGCGAGAGTGCGCCGCGACGAGGCTGCGGCCAAGGCAGCAGAAGACGCAGAGGAGCAGCGCATGCAAGAAATCGACGCGCAGCGCCGCTTGGCTATACTCAGAGGCGAAGTACCGCCACTATTAGAAGACGACGCACAAGATGACCTGGATGTACTGCGAAAATCAAGCAGGCAGAGTGACCCAAATCGTCATGGGGAGACGCGGCGAAAACGAAAGCGCTATGGCGAGGATGATACAGATTTCGAACTACGCATAGCGAAGGAGAGGACAGACCCTGCAAGCAGATCGCTGGAATTATCTCGACAACCAACGAGCTCGGCACCGATTGTGGACTACCGCGGACATATTGATCTGTTCGGCGACGAGAAAACTAGGGCACACGGCGAAAAGAACCCAGAAGCAGAGAGGGAAGCACAAAAGAAGAGGCGGGAATATGAAGACCAATATACCATGCGCTTTTCCAACGCAGCTGGCAAGCATGGAACCAACAGCCCGTGGTACTCCCAAGCGGACGCCGCAAGGCAGGATGCGCCGCTGAAAGATGTCTGGGGTAACGACGATCCGAGGCGGAAGGGGAGAGATGCGAATCGAATAGTCGCCAGCGATCCCCTAGCCGTGATGAAAAAGGGAGCCTCACGACTGAGAGAGTTGAAACAAGAGCGGAAGAGGTTCCAGGAAGAGCGGGAGGAGGAGATGCGGCAGATGCGAAAGGACGAGCGGCGAAGAGAGAGGCACAGGCAGAGAGACGAGGGAGAATCAAGACGGCGGAGCGCATCACCAAAGTCTAGGAGAAGACGGCAGCGGTCTAGGGACACCCGAGACGACAGCTATGATAGAGACTGGGACAGGGGGAGGAGGAGGGACAGAGATCAGGCGCGGTCACATCGGCGTGACTCCCGTTCTCGGGAGAGGGGGTCTCGTCGCCAACATCACGATTAACGAGCCGAAGAGATGGAATACGGATACCCATATCGATTTTTCCTGCATAAATATACCGAGTGTCAACATGTCAATTACCAACCCGTAATAGCCAGCCCCTCTAATCAAAAATTTCTAAACTCTGTCCGTTCTTTTTCACTTTTCCACACGCGGGAGCTTAATCTCAACAGCCCTCATATCCTTCTCAGTCATGTCCACAATCTCCTTGGCATCCATCTTCTTCAGCGCCGCCTCGATCCTCGAATAAGTCCCCTCGCTCAGGCCCTCCTCAGAATCACAATACACATCCACACCTTCCTTTGTAAACACGGTCGGAGCAAACCAAGTCACCGCCCACCTCTCCTTCTTCCCCTCCGCATTCATAGCCTCTCCCCAGCCCAGCAATTCCCAATGACTCGACACGAAGAACAGCCAGCCTTTCCCCCTCCAGTCCCACCCTCCGTCTGCGGACTGAGTATCAATTCCCGCGACTGTCTTGAGAACACCCGACGACTTGGTAGGCTCGTATTCCACCAGGTCGTCGATGCGCAATTTGCCATCGTGCTTGGAAGGGAGAGGCTTGTAAGTGATGCGGACGTTGCGAGCAGACCGCCACATGTGAAGCGTGGAATGGGTGACGGTCCACGTTGTGCTGAGCCACTCGATATCTGGAGCGGGTGACTTGTTCGATGCGCTTGCGGAGCTGGATATGTATTTTGATGGGAGGGCCAGCGACAAGGGAGTTTGCTCGGCCATGGCGCCTGTGCTGGTTGCGAACTTGTGAGGTGAGGTTGTTGTCAATTGAGAGAGGCTTCCTGTTTCAGACCATGCCCCTGGTTATGTGAATATCTTGAAACAAAAGGATTGGGGTATCATATTAAGCAGAGAGCGTGCAGGAAGAAGAACGGCTTGTCAAAAGAATGCGAGATGTTTGCGACACACTCAAGTCGTGTAGTCGCAACTGAGGATCTAGTTCGTACCAACCACCGGAATCTCACAGATCCGAGATAAAAGCCCGAGTGTGACGTGGTTATTTTAGTCCGTGTTACCAGACGCCATATACTAGTCGTTAATCTACGCCATCTAGCAACCAAATTGCTAATGTTAGATCTCAGTTCTTGTATCTGCCAAGGATGATACCTTAATGCTCACCTCGTTACGGAGCACGAAGCCCAACTATTAATGTTTTGCTGCGCAGGCAGGCGGTGCATGTGGCTAATAAGGTGTACAGACTCGGTAAAGTATTGACGTTATGCATGCATAGTCCCGGCCCGCTGTTTTTGACACCTCGACCACAGAGTATGTACATTACTCCAACCACACTTCAGAAGCTTGAGCCTGGTATTGACTGGCCAAAGTCCATGTGTGCCGATCCTTCCCGCGCAGCCCATGCCATAACCCAGCCGCCGCAAAGCACATCCCAAGCCCTCCCGGCGCCGGAGATGCACCCCAGATCGTGAATTCGAATCGGGAGCCAGGCACTGTCTAACATCCCTGCCCACGGTGCGGCCACCAGTCCGGACCGTCTGCGCTCTCCGTACGCTCGGAAGCATCTGTAGGGCCATTTCGAACGCTGCGGGGATAAAGATTGGTGGTAACGCAACGGTGCTCATGCTCGGCTTGGAAACGGAGCACTTTTTTGCTGAACGAGACGTTGAGTTGACCCTTATCCATAGTTTGGTTGTCGGCACCAATTAGTGCTGGCGCTTGGGATGGGCGACATGTTCGAGGGTACTTAAGTAGACAAGCGAGTTGGACTGAATTTCGTCCTGGGATTGGAGGTTAAACGTTGCGCATTCCATGTCAATAATGACACGCCGGCCTGACCCCACGTGCAGCTGTGTGTGTAGGTTAGCTGCTGTGAGTTCAGCACCTTCTTTGACGCTGGCCCGTGAATCGTGACGTGGCGACAGGCAACGACTAAGACTCTGGACTCTCTTCGGCACCTAGAGTTCAAATATGCGTGAATGTACACAATGAGGAGTGCGTTAAGATGGTCGAGGTTACCATGGCAAAAATTTTGGAAGAAGCCCAAGAATCTGTCCAAACAGTTATGAAATACGTAGTTACAACCATCCGAGACCCGGCTCGTCAATAACGCCCTGGTCCTAGGAGAGAGGGCCCGCTACATTCCGGCCCACCCAATTATCCCAATTATGTATATGCAGTCGACCCCAACCCACGCCCAAGGCCCCAAACAACCATCCATCCAAAACCACGTCACGACACCAGTGCTCCTTCTTCCCTCTCGACAACCCCACACTTGCGGTGAAGAGCATCAGCTCCATCGCACGCTCAAACTCACCCGCCCCGGAGCAGCTCCTCACACACGATGGATCCAGGAGCCGACGCCGACGCAGCCGCCATGGCCGCCGCCATGGGCTTCTCAACCTTTGGTGCGCAGGACCGTCCCCAGAAGAAGAGGCGATATAATCCGGCCGTGGACACAGTCACGTCGGTCGCGCAGCCTGCGCCCGGTGCCCAAGCTGCTCCAACGGGATCCAATTCAACGCCTCTAGGAAATCACAGCAGCGTGTCGAAAGGGGAACCAGGGGACCAAGCAAATGCAGATGAGATCAACCTGGACGACGAGGAAGGACAAGACGAGAGCACACTTCAGAAGCGCTCTGGAGAAACGGCACCCCAGGCACCTCCCCTTCATCACGGCTTGCCAGCCCGTCCTGCCCCGGGAACAGGCTTCGTCGGATCACCAACGCAGTTCCCAGGTTGTCATGGTGCGTCGCAAGCGGGAGGCTCGAGAGTCTGGTATGAGGGCTACTACGACAGCACATCGAATGAGAATCCATGGGAACGCCTTGAAAAGAGGATGGGCCTTGAATCAATGGGCACTTGGGTTGCCAGACAAGCGCACACAGCACCCAGTGTTTGACCGACGCCATGTTGTCGGTGCCGATGATTTCACCAGCAGAAGATGGACAACAGAGATCACAAATGGACTGTATCATTACGTTGGTTTGCCCCAAAGGATTGGAATACGAAAACTTTGAATGAGCTTTTGCCTTGTCAAGGTCTGAGAAAGGAACGACAGGAGCTTGGTTCAAGGTGGTCACGTGACCCACTCAACTACACAGCTTCCTAGTTCAGGAACGGTTCCAACAAATTCGTCATGTGCCAGGGCCAATCACATGATATTCATGTCTCCAGGGCTTCTCTAATGAATGCCTTCATCGTTGATGCTTATGCGACTTTCATTGGAGGACAGACCTGTCTTGGCACTGGCACATGGTCGGCGAGAAGCCTGGGATTCAGTCGATCCATTGTACGCCATGGGAGAGTCTTGCTATAGAGACACTCATCTAGGACACACTATGTACTACTGCAAGGCACAGTAGTATGAAAAAGATTGTCGTCTTTACGGTCGTTACCCGAAAGAGCAGCATACACCACAATAGGAAAGGCCCCTCCCTGTCCACCAGTCACAACTTCCACCCTCCGTGCCGGCCCTCGTGATCTCAGATTCTCTGTTCGGGACATTTTCGGCCATCATCGTCCTTCCTCATCACACTACAGCACCCGACCAGCTGGAACCGATCTGCTGGGTTAGCAGGGGCCCCTTGCAGCCTTGCCGTCCGTTTTCAGTTCACACGCCCAGGCGCCAGAATAGATGCCAGTTCCCACCAGACGCAAGAAAGCGAGGTGTACCTGGCGTTGCAAGATGCCAAAATCCGACCCAATTCCCATCCAATCATAACTCGTAACTTCGTGAAATAGCCACTATTCAACCCCCCGCACGCCCTATCGCTGTGGAGAGGACAGAAAGTCGGCGCCTAATTGCCGCTCGAGGCCAGGGGGGGCTCAGTAAAAGCAGCAAGGGATTGCGCGCCAACGCAATGCAAGATTGCCGCGCTGTCGCCGCAATTTTGACATCATGTGATACAGGAATATCCTGATATAAAGCACTATGTGTAAACGCCATGTTGCGCATAGTTCATAAACTCTCCCTGCAGCCATCATCCGTAGAAACGCCGTGTAAATATCTTTTTGCAGAACTTGCCGCTGAACCAAGGAGATATGTCGGAAAGTAAAATGGCCTTTTGGTCGCTTCAAACTATAATGAAAATCGCACTCCACGGAGCGTAGAAAACGAAAAGAGGCCATGGTCTTTAATACTCGGGAGAAGGATGTCGCTCGCGAGCCTTACGATACTCCTTGGGGTGCTTACGAGAAGCTTTGGCTTGCAGTGATCTGAGAGGAGAAATTTGTTAGCTGGCTTCTCAAGCTGCTTTAAATGAAGCGCCTACAGAAGCAACGCTGGCCCGTGGGGGGAGAAGAGACAAACACAGGCGAGGGGCCTTGTCTCAATTCCCCCAGGCGGCGGGCGTCGCTACGTCATGAGGACGTTGCCCAAGGCAAGTTGAGAATGCACTTACGAGACTTTCTTCTGTGTCCACTCCAAATCTCCCCGCACCTCGCGGGCGTCTCGCATTCCGTCTTGGAATCGCTCCCTCGTCTTGGCGAGACGAGCCTGTGCCTGCTTTTGCAGGTCCATGAGCTCGCGGTGCTTCGCATTCAACTTTCCGGAGCTGTTTTCACGCAGTCAGCTTTTGTAAACAAATACATGTGTAAACTCAATGTTGACAGTCCCTGGTGTTGCTGTGCTGGGACGGACCAAAAAAACCGCCATCGGGGGTTCGCGGGGCAAATGACTTACGTTTGCGCTTGAACCGCCATGCTCCGGTCGAGTGGGATGGGATTGAACGAGTTTGCAAAACGCTCTTGCATGTACTCCTGGAAATCAATGCCACTAGCCGAGTTGGCGCTGTCATAGTCGTTTGAGCCCATGTAACTAGCAGAGCCCGTGTATCCACTGTTACCGTAGGATGGGACACCCGACGCAGAACTCATGTCGTCGTCGCATTCCGGGGGAGACATGGAGTAATGAGTGTACGTGGGGTACTGATTGCCCTTTCCAGGAACCGCCATTGGCATGGCGTAGGACACTGTTGGGAACGGGCCGGACATGGTGATGATGGTGGTGGTGTTGATGGACGCGTTGATCCGTCGTCTTTCAATAGTGTCACAAAGCCGCAGGCTGTGGATGTGTGACAACTAGAAACTCCGTTCTGAGCAAGAACTGGAATGATGATATGATGTTGTTGCGGCAAGGGGTGATGTTGTGAATGGATATGATGTTACACTTGATGGTTGTGCAGACACGCAACACAATGGGAGTTGGTTGGTGATGGCGAGACTTTACAAGGAGGAACAAGACTTGCTTGGGAGATGTATGACAAGAAAATAAAAAGGGAAGAAGAAGGAATCCGACTCATCCTGAACACAGGAGGCCCTTTTATAGTTTTCCCGGACCCTCCCCGGTCACTATGCTCCAACTGAAGCAGACCTGACAACATTCATCTATTCGTTAGAGCGATTATCATGATACCCCGCTTGAAACGATGCCGGACAAGTACGGAGTATCATCTGAGGGCATAGGAGCCTGCGACGAGGTGATCATGGCGGGCGTGCATGATGCGGACCAACGACATGACGACAAGGCCGTGAAGGTGGAGCGATATCCTCGAACGGCGTAGACTTTTTCGCGGCCTTGTTAACAGGCATGGTACAGTACTTGGGAACATTGATGGGCCAACGACCTCGGGAGCCAGCAGCCGACATGGACACGTCGGACCATCAAGGGGGAGGAGGGTGGGAGTGAGAAGGCATTGACCAACGAAGACACGAACGTGCGCCTGCGGTGCAAATTCTTCCAAGCTTCAATGGGCGTGGGATTTAGATTTTAGTCCGGCAACACCAACGACAAGGAGACTGCATATGCCGAGGGGCGAAAGGACCACTTTATTGACCACGGATCGGCGGACACTGGCCGTTTCCAAGAACATAAGAAAGAGAAAAAGTGCTCGCAGGGAGGCTAGAAGCCAGCGGTACGGAGCATCCAAGTAAGTTACTGTACATAGCTTCGTATGTAGAGGTGGTGGGAATGTCCGAAGTAGTCATGGTGGGATACAATCAATGGCAGAGAAACACGGCCAGCATGGAGACGCGGCCCACCGAAACTCATGAAATTGGCTGGTGATGTGACAAAGACTTCTCTATCAAGCCAAATGAAGTGGTGGCTGCACTAGCAGACGGGGTTTCCAATCACCCCAAAGCCAAGCAGGGAAAACCATGATCGGAGACGAAGGGTTCAAGGAGATGGTTATCAAGAAGTGGGTGACAGGCAGACCGCAATATAGTGACCGAAGGCTGTGTTTGTCTTCAATGTTTGGTCTGGTCTTTTTCGCACCAAGGGGCGGGACGTGAAAAAGTGAATCAGGAAAGAAAAAAGCAGGGCGGCATGTACAATCGGGCTGCTGTCAACTGGTGTGGCCAGGAGACCAATACCAAAGCAGCCAGAGCAGCAAAACGGCAAACTTGGGACGTACATGGTGGACCAAAGGGGCGGAAAGAGATGGAGTGAGGCGTGATGCATTATCCAGTGTCGCACCAGAAACAAGCGCGACGAGGCCAAGTTGGTAGAAGCAGCCAAAAGCAGCACTGGATTTCCCAGCACAACGTGGGCGTTGGTTCCATGGCATTGACAGCATCGACAGCATGCAAGTGGTGCACACCCTAGGGATCCACGCTGGCAGCCGCATATTGTTGGATGCGCAAGTCAAGCGTGGATGGCACCGAGGTTCAGGCACATGTGCGTTGAATCGGACAAGCCGTCGTGCTGTGGATGATGATGCGTTGTCAAGATAACAACCACATAACTCCCCGAAAGCCAGCAACCCGCCGCGCTTATGTGTGACGAGGCCGTGGCCTGCTGCTTGCTGGTGCTGGTGCTGGTGCTGACGCTGCGGCTGCGGCTCCAAGATGTGTCCGGTTGTGTTGTGCCTTGGCAAGCGTGTCTCGCAAAGTTGCATTGAAAAATGACCTCAATGTTGGAGTTCTTTGACGTATTTTGCTCTGCAAAGACTGCCAGCTGCCCTGGTACAGGTACCTACTAAGTACTTGGCACCAGACTTCACCAGGCACTTGCCGGTGTACACGTCCCCAGCTTCTGCCGTAGCACCTGCCTAGCAAATACGGCCGTCAATGCTGAAACGGAAGGTCCAGTTTACCTCGCCGATATCGAACAAGCTGCAGCGAATGCACTGTTGACGCTTTGGGCAATCGTCATCTCGCTGCCTCCGCTGTGCATCATATTTGATCCCTGGCAAGTACTACCTGTGTATGTACGTATGGAGTACAGATGGCACCGACATTATGCATCAATAATCCTCCAGTCCCATACCCAAGCATTAGAATGGTAATGACCTCTCCCCTTGTTGATATGCACCAAACTCCAGACATCTTCGAAACTTTGCTCACCAGCTCACCAATCTATCCTGGGGATGTAGGGTGAGGCCCCTTCATTCCGCCAACTGGCTGCCTACCCACCTTCACCAAATTTCCACTGACCGACCTGTTGCGAAGTAATCGGAGATCCCAGGGTCATGGAAGAAGCAATTGAGCTAACCCTGCGACCAAAACTATTTGCAAACTTGATTGGCTGATGCGTGCTTGGAAACCTGAGAAGGCATGGCAAAATGTTTTCTGCGAGTTCTTCGATCTGCCCCTCCCCCGCTGGGGAGAAAAAGCAAAGCTAGCGGTCTTGTGTTCTCATCACGACATACCAACAAGAAACTACTAGGTTGTTTCGGAACCAGAATCATCATTCACTTACACCCGATTAGTCGAATGGAGGAAAACCCTTGGGCTTCCTAAACCATAGTACCTCTCTGGTGTCTTCCACTTCCACTTCCACGAGTCTCTGACGTACATGGGAGGGGGGTCCATGGAGGGGTGTGTAAGTCCATAACATCTGACGAGACCATTTCTCTTTCGTGCTCAATCCATCCATCCACTCATAAAGCGGCTAGCCGCGTCGCCTCAGCTCATGCAGGAATCGGGATAGCAATGGATACTCATGAGCGAGCATGCGGGCCACCGTGGGTTGTGATCTTTATCATTGACTTGGATCAGTACACCCAGTGAGAAACCTCTCATAGACCCTTCTCGTGCTTGTGGTGCCGGAAACCTCTTATCAACACTTTGGCAAAAGCTACAATACATGTGGCGTATTCGGGAGACCAATAAGTTTCATAGCCCTCGTAAAAAACTGAAATTGGACAAGTCTGGTCCCCCCTTTGCGACAGAGGACACTGACGCACACCATAATCTCCGGCAACATATGTGTGGTAAGGGACCTTCGGAATGTCTTGAGCATTCGCTGGGGGCGAGGAAACAAGCCACCATATTCCAATAATTCGGTTCGCCAGGCCGACGAGCGACTAATGGAAACCACAAGCCTGTGCGCGGCACATGGGTTGACATGATGGGATGTATCCCGAGGGACAACTCAGCAGCAGGGTTAGGACTCGAAGTGGAAATTCTGAATGGCACGGTGTGGACGCACACGCCTCCTCCCAGCGAAGAGGGACAACTCATGCATGGAAGAAAGAACTCCTGCAAGAACCTGATGATGGGGCATCTTCTCATAGGTAGGACTTGCGGCGAGACAAATCTTTACCAACTTCTAGACTCCGCGAGGTCTATCGCATATATCTATTGCGGTAAAATATGCACCATGTTAGTTGGTTACCTTCTCTGTTAGTAACTAGTATTTCATCCGGCGAGGGAAGTTGACAGGGAGGAGTGTAAAGTGCCCGTGACACTGGCTTACCGCTACTTGGGACATCCCTGTCCCAGCCATACAAGCTTGGCATGCATAGTCGAACGTGTCTTGGTGGACTGCACAGGGAAAGGGCTGCTTGCTGGCTGCCTACTGTTGAAGGGCGATGTGCTTTTTGAGGGGGAAGGGGGTGGCGGAAGGGAAGACTCGTGTTCGACCGAAGAATCAGTGAGGTCACTGAAGATATTTGATAATGGAAGCCGTGGATTCCAGGCCACAAATCACGAGGACTATACCAGCAGCGCCAGCTCGATATAGTTGGCCCTCACAGCATAGTTACTGCACGTCATTAATGCAGTTCGCCACGCACTCCTGGTGCTGTTGCATGGTGACTTTCAAGTTTGGGACTGACGTTACAAGCTTGCCTTGCACAAACGAGAGTCGGCCTTCTTGAAGGCGATACGACTCTGATGAAAGGATGGGCTCGTCTCATTTAACAGTAATTCACGGTGCTCCTTACTATGCTACTTCTGATGGTCTCTTAGCTAACGATTAGTCTGTATATAAAAAGTCTGTCTACAGATAAAGTAAGTCTGGTCTTTCCATATCTCAAATTCCATAGTATCCGCCAAGCCATAATCCAACGCATCCTTATTCGTCTCCCATTTGACGGTTCCCCAGCCCCCCTGGCAGACATCCAGAGACCCCAAAACGCCGGCCATGTCCATGCGCACAAGCCCCAGAATATTGGTCAGGTACAAAAAAAAACAAAACACCCAATGTAGTGAAGTGGACCAGTAGATGTTGAGAGATAGATGCCAAATATAACGGCAGAAATACACTGAAGAAAGACCGCTTTAAGTGAAAAGCCTCAGGAAACCCCAGATGCCAATGCCGCTGAGAACTGGTATGGTTAGATTATCGTCCCAGCCAAAAATATCAATCACTTCACTGGCAGAAGCAACAAAACCAGACCACAAGCCCATGATGGACAAGGCCAAAGTGCCCGACACAGTAGCTGCAGCCCGAGACACACCGAGAGCGCTTGTCACGACAGCCGGCAGCGAGAGGGTACCCTTGAACATGAAGTTCTCGTCCCCAGGCATGGGTCCGATAACGGGGACCAACCAGCCATAAAAGAAGAATGACGTAGCCACGCCGACCAAGAAGGCGGCAAAGGAACCAGCCAGCGACTTGCCACGACGGATCCGAGGTGTATGGCGACCCCAAAGGCGCCCAAACGTACTGGCGGCCGTGTCGCACCAGCTCAACAGCAAAACACTCATGACGCCCACATCCTTGGGGAGAAAGTACAAGACGGCCCAGGCGCCAAGTAGGTAGAATATGACGCCATTGTACCCAGAGTATTCGCTCTCGCGCATGAGCGCACCCAGAAGGCGCACGTACAGCCTGTTCACCGCGGTGTATCGGTGTCGAAGCCAGTCTGTCGTAGCAATGGGAATCAGTCCGGCCATGAGATACGGGGGAACAGCCTGCGTCTGCGTCCCCGTCGTGTACAGCCACACCACAAAGAAGCCTATCGAGACGTGGAGGGCTTTGCGAGGCACCTCGTGTTTGTGGACGAATGTTCGCCAGTGTCGGTGGATGGGGATGAGGCCGAGAGGGCTGGGACTGCGGCTAAAGTCCCGCCAGGACCAGCCTGAGGGCGTGGCAGGCTGGGGAGGGGCCAGGTGCCCATTCGAAGTAGATATCTTGCCATTTGTGACGACCTTTTCAGAAGGCTCCTTGGACAGAGGTTTCATGGCGAGGCTGGAGTTGCTTGGTGTCATGCGGGCCATTGTTCGGGAGTCGATTGGCGATCTACTTCTGGTGCGGGACCTCCGCAGGCCGGGAACCTCGTCGTCGACATCGTCTTGTTGCGGGTGTTCGTCTTGCGAGTGCTGAGAGGACGCCATTCTCCTCCGGGCCGCCGAGCGCGTCGTGGGTGCCGAGTAGCCCGCGTCGTGCTCCGGGGGGTCGGGACTCGGCGAGATGACGCGAGGTGTCTCGGGGACAGAGGATGCTGCCTTGCGACGCAGAGACATGGTGAAGGATACCGGTGGCAGGGGAGGGGAGCGGACGGCCCCGACAACAACGCGATGAAGCGATACGTGGTGAGAGGGCCAGAGATGTTGTTGGGCTGGACCGGCGGCGGCCGCAGGCGAAGCAGCAGCAGCAGCAGCAGCAGAGGAGTGGAGAGAGGAATCGGTGTATTTATCGAGGCGCGACCGTCGCGCCAGAGATGTTGGCGCAGGCTCTGAGCCTCGAATTGGAGCAACGACGGCGGACTGGCTATGAAGCGTCGAGGGTCCTTGCTGAGGGAAGCTGGCGGACTCTATCGGATCCAGTGTGAAGTCCAGAGAGGCAGCAGAGGGAGCGTCCCCTACTGCACGATGACGAGTTTGAGGAATGGCGGCGGCCGGAATGGGACAGCGCGTGCATGAAGGTCGGGGGAGGGAAGGCGAGAGAGAAGGATGCAAGAGCCGTGACAGAGGAAGCGTTGGGAACCACGGGACACCTTTTTGTCTTTTTTTGTGACGCAGACACGGGATGGATGTGGAGGTGTTAGCAGACGGAGGCGTCGGGGTTTAGAAATTTTGCACCCCCAGACCAGACGGGGCCCACGGGTTTGCCGTCCCCGGCCAGAGCCATGGCCCATGGGTCAGGCATGTGATTACAGAGCATGGAGAGGTATCATGGCCATGGCCGTTTACGAGAGGGCTTTCTTTCGGTACTCTTGTCTATCGTTGTGTTTGATGGCTACCTAGGTACTTAAGGTAGTTATGCGCATACAGGTTGTGTACGTGATGGTGATGAGACACGAATACAATGTTAATGGCAGACGGGCCTCCCTGTGATGGTCGTGTGTGCCTGAGCCCACAGTGCACATGCGGGCACTAATTATTTTTTGGATGGTCTGGTGCTCACGCGAGCACCTGAAGGCGTCAACTGCAATTACCAGTGCGGGAGGCAGCCGTGGCCGAAGACGGTCAGGGCGGAGGAGCCACCACCGGCACCGGAAAATACTGTACATGTAGCGAATACTAATGTGCACGCTGAGCAGACACGGCAATGTAAGTAAAGATACTTGTTTAGTCACGTGCCGATAAGATCAAGCCTCTGGCGATAGCGACAACTTTTTGTTTGACAATGGTCCCTCCATCGGCGGCAACATCCAGCATTGTCATTCCCAGTCCGTCATGGCTCCTGGAAAGGTCATTCCCAAGAGGGATCCCAGAGCGTGGGAAGCGCTCACACCACCACTCGCAGAATGGATCCTGGATGCTGTGTCAACCATGGGGTTTTCCCGCATGACACCCGTCCAAGCTGCTACCATGCCGCACTTTTTGGGCAATAAGGATGTGGTAGTTGAGGTATGAAGATATTTTCGCGAATCAATTCTTTTGTTCCTGTCGTGGCACCAATCCTGACATGACTTACCTAGGCCGTCACAGGCAGTGGTAAAACACTATCCTTTTTGATCCCCATTGTGCAAAAGATTTTGCGCCTCGAAGAGCCGACCAAAAAACATCATGTCGCCGCCATCATTGTCTCGCCTACAAGAGAGCTCGCTGATCAGATCCACTCCGTTCTCCTTTCATTACTAGCATTCCACCCGCCGTCTGCGGAAATTTTACCCAATCTCAACGACGAGGAGAAGCGACCCTCGACCACGACTCCCGTTATTGTACCCCAATTACTTGTTGGAGGTACCACCACTACGGCACAGGATTTGAGTTACTTTATGCGCCATAGCCCAAACGTTTTAATATCTTCCCCTGGACGACTGGTTGAACTGTTGTCGTCGCCGCATGTCCATTGCCCCCAATCCTCGTTCGAAATGCTTGTCCTGGACGAGGCGGATCGACTGCTTGATTTGGGATTTAAACAGGACCTTCAGAATATCATTTCACACTTGCCCAAGCAGCGACGTACTGGTCTGTTTAGTGCCAGTGTCAGCGAAGCCGTGGGCGAGATCATTCGAGTTGGTCTGCGAAATCCCGTCAAGATTGAAGTTCGAGTCAAGATGAAGGACGGTGGAGTATTGGAAGATAGAAAAACTCCGGCTAGCTTACAAATGGCCTATCTCATCAAACCGGCGACACAGAAGCTACCGGCGTTGGCGCAACTTCTCGAAAAATTACCCATCACCCCGCAAAGGACGATTGTCTTTCTGTCTACGTGTGCAGCTGTCGACTACTTTCAACATATCCTGCCGGGCCTGCTTCCTGCTCAGTTTTCATTAATACCGCTACATGGGAAACACCCGGCCAAGGTGCGGGAGAAGAATTTCAACAGGTTTTTAAACTCGGTTTCTCCCACTGTTCTCTTAACGACCGACTTGGCAGCTCGTGGTCTTGACATTCCCCAGGTTGATCTAGTTGTGCAAATTGATGCACCGTCTGATCCCAAAGTGTTTATCCACCGAAGCGGAAGAGCTGGGCGTGCTGGAAGAAAAGGATTGGCAGTCGTCATGCTCCACCGCGGACGGGAAGAAGACTACGTACGGTTCCTGGAAATTCGCAAGACGCCAATTACTCCATTAGAAAAGCCGGAGATCTCTATATCAGAAAAAGATGCTGCCGCTGCTGTAGATCAAATACGCAAGTTGGCCAAAACAGACAGGGCCATCTACGATAAAGCACAAAAGGCATTTGTGAGCTGGGTGCGAAGCTACGGCGCACACCAAGCAACTTCAATATTCCGAGTCTCTGATCTTGACTGGATAGACTTGGCAAACGCATGGGGACTGCTCCGAATGCCGAGGATGCCAGAGCTCAAGAATTGGAAGGGCGACAAGACGCTGGGTGTGGAAATGGACTGGGATACATTCGCATACAAGGAAAAGACGCGCGAAATAGCAAGGATAGAAGAAATGGAGGCCGCAAAGAACGGCGAGGGAATCGAGAAGAAGGATGACAAGAAACGCAAGAGGAAGAACGAGGCGTGGAGCGGCAAGCACCAACAGCAGGAGCACCGCAACGAGAGACGTGAGAAGAGATACAAGAAGAAAGAGGCCGAAAAGAACGCCAACATGACGGATGATCAAAAGGTGGACAAGATGAAACTAGACGAGCTCATTAAGCAGGTCCGAGAGCAGAATCGCACAAAGGCCGCGTCGAAGGATGACGAATTTGAGGGCTTTGACGATTAAAATTTCAATATACCCGTGTCAAGTCAAGTATGCTGTCCCAACACAGTGCATCATAGCCGGAAGATGACAGCCCGTATTTGAAAGTTGTCCCATGTACAGGACCTACCTGCGACGTGATTGGCGATTGCAGCCACCGGCAAAATGCCGTCAAGTAGGTGCAGCAACACAAAATTTTGACAGCCCTACAGTATGTTGGAGTCGTCGTCAGCTTGGCATCTAAGGATCTATCCGAGAAACAATCGCGAACCGCCAAGAACCTGGGCCTCCGACCGCGTAAGCTGGTCGCAGATACGCGTATTTTGCATGTGGGGCGGTAGCGAATACGCGTATAGAGGGACATGGAAACACAGATTTGGCAATTCTAAGGTAACCAGGGTCTTGTCGAAACTTGAAATACACGGATTTTGACTTACACTAGTACCCACATCTGGTTACAGCTAACGCAAGCCGCACGAAAGTGTCAAGTATAAGAGGTGGGACGAGGAGTCGATAGTTGGAAGCTGAGCTCGGACAAATATATATAATACACTCGTTGTTCAGCTAGCCCTTGTTTTTTTTATTCAGCATTGGCTCTTGGCCCCTGAGAGTTTTGACTTTTTTGCCTCTCTTCCCTTCTTACTTGCTTTCTTTTTTTTCTGTTCTTTTCTCACCCTTCTCAAGTCCTGGTTTTAGTTTCCATTTGGAGAGGGTACCGGTGATAAAAATACAACGAAATATGGCAGTACTAAAGCCATACAGGGGCAACTACTACCTCTGGGACTACCTTCCGTCGACACCAGCAGCAGTCATATTCGTGGTCCTGTTTGCGGGAGCAACGGGCTTCGTGGGCTGGCAGATGGCCAAGACGAGGACGTGGTTCAGCATACCTTTTGTCCTCGGCGGACTGTGTAAGTCCACACCACAGCATCAGCATGAGACGGCTTTCAAGCGTACATGTACATACATACTGACGCAAGATTCGGTTCCGCAGTCCAGTTCCTAGGCTACGTGGCCCGGGCGTACGCGCGCGACAAAACTGACCAACTCGGCCCGTTCGTGATGCAGTCGGTGCTCATCCTCGTGGCGCCCGCGCTCTTCGCCGCCTCCATCTACATGACGCTCGGGCGGCTCATGCGCAGCATCCACGGCGAGCGCCACTCCCTCATCCCCGTCAACTGGCTCACCAAGGCATTTGTGCTGGGCGACGTCTTGTCGTTCCTGGTGCAGTCGACGGGCGCAGGGCTCATGGCGGTCAAGAACTTTGACCCCAAAAAGGCAGAGAACATCATCCTCGTCGGGCTTATTGTGCAAATCGTCATGTTTGGGCTGTTTGCCATGACGGCGGCGATTTTCCACGTCCGGATGAGGAGGTGGCCGTCGGCGGCGAGCATGGACGCGGGCTGGGTCAGGATTATGATGATGCTGTACGCGACGAGCGCGCTGATTCTGGTGCGGTCGGTGTTTAGGGTCGTGGAGTACATCATGGGCAAGGAGGGCTATTTGCTGACGCATGAGTGGACGCTGTATGTTTTTGATGCGGCCCTGATGTTTGGCACCATGGTGGTGTACGGGGTTGTGTATCCAGGGCACTTGAGCCGTGGGGAGTTGAGGAAGCCGAGGGCGTGGGACGTGGTTGATTCGGGGCCCGGGGAGGATGAGGTTCGGCCGGGGGGCAAGTGAGTAGAGCCATCTTGCGGGAATGGGGCTGTGTTGTGTCTATGTTGGGTTGGCTTTTTGATATTTGATGGTGATGGTCTTGTTGAGCGTGTTGGCATTTTAGACGGCGAAGGGAGCAAATTGGTAGATTCGATAGAATTGCAGGCCATGTACAGAACAAAATTCGAGTTTAAAAATTTGCAAAACGAAAAAGGAGGGAAAAGAGAAAAAGTAAACGGCTGTAATCTCCTAGTTGTCACGGTTAAGCTGCATCACCAAGACGACGGCCGAAACCTGCTGACTTAAGCAACTCTGACAAGCCGACGTCAAAACCTCACCACATGGTCTGGCATGGCCCATAACGGCATCAATCTCCATGTCGAACGCGGCGTCCGCGTCGTCCCCCCCTTTCCAGGGCGCGCAGCATAGCCACGAAAGGCCACGCAGGCCCAGTCACGCCAGGGACACCTCCAAATTCCCTCACTTGGCTCACTCGCTCGCTCACCGACTCCCGGAATCGCGGAATCACCATGCCTCAACCCGGCGGCACAAGCCCGCAGCAGCAGCCCAAGGCGCATCGCAGATCACACAGAAAATCCCGAAACGGCTGCGTGGAGTGCAAGCGGCGCCATATACGCTGCGACGAGCGCCG